GGATTTGAACAAGTCATCGGTTCGGTTGATGCTTTAACGCTCGCCGTTTTCAACATCGACGATTGTCAGCTTAAAATCTCTGACGTCACATCTCAACTTGATGTGTCATAAAAGTTGGGAAGCTAGAGAGGAAATGAGGAGCTTTACTAATGGAACATGTTTTCAGTAACTGAACTGATCTTGGGCTTAGCTTGATCCAACAAGCAATTTTTCGAAACACTGCCCATGTTTGATCCTATATTTCTTGATAAATACGCTATATTTAACAAATTTAAAAACTTCCCAACTTAGATTTTTGAACTTGTTGTGTAGCCAGACCAGTAAGCCCGTGGTGAGAGGGTAGGCATACGTTTTTCCTATCGATTAATTAATGGGAGTGTATGTTTGCAGGGAAAAAGCAACTTAGCGTTGCCCTAACACTTAAGGTAAAATAGCGTTAGGTAAAGGCAGTTGTGCTGAGCGCTACAGCTTTAGGGTTCAGCCCTACCGCCTACAGTTGGCGCTATTTTATACCTTAAGTATTAAAACGCAGCGCTAAGTTGTTTTTGCCGTGTATTTACGGCCATTGAGAGCTTCATGATATACTAACATTCGCCGACCAATCGAAAGCGACACTTTCTGCACTGAAAAACTATACGAATGGACCAAAGACAAAGAGAGACCCTCCGGGCCTCTTAGCGACATATGAGAAAACTTTTGCTTTCGGAGATTCAACACTTCCGTCAGGGCTGGATTTACTTACTTGCCGCCCCTCCTCATTTGTTTTGAAACATCAATAAAAACCATCAAGTGAACGTGCCAGCGGGGGAGGGGTGCATAAGACGCGTTTACTCGTGTTGGACACATTTTTTGCAAAAGCCCTGTCAACACTACAACACTACTAGCAAATGTTCACGGAACTTGGCGCGAAAGTTAAGTTCTGTAAACCTATCTCAGTGTGGACAAGGCCCTCCATTCATATGAAATGAACGTAAAAATTATTAGAGAACAAACATAAATGTGGTTTAATAATTTTAACTTTCGCCGCCCGCCGCACCGCGCTGAGTTTGGCGCAATGCGTTAAGTATTCCAACAGTCTCGTATGCGCTATGCTTTGCACGCCAACCGCTGCTGCACGCACTGTGTTTGACGTAATGCGAGAAGTATTCATGCAGTCTTGTAGGCGCTATGCGTTTCACGCCGCCCGCTGCTGACCGCAGCGACCGCACTATCTTTGGCGCAATGTGTGAAGTATTCATGCAGTCTTGTAGGCGCTAATAGGTGTTACATGCCGACGTCGCGTCCGCGCCGCGCCGAGGGTTTCTCCTTTTCATCTCAAGTTCATCGTCATCATTGCTCTCTGCGCCGCGTCGTTCCAGGCCAAATTCCGTGTTCGGTTTCTCTCTTAGTTTTAACTCGATAAAGGTGCTGTCTACTTTATCACAGAAAGTCGACAAAATTAGAGATATACTCTCAGGAAATGAGAGATTTTGTCACCTTTCCCCGTTAGTAATTTTTTTCGGAATCAGATTTTTCTTTATACCTACATTTAAAGAAATTATTTTTCTTTAAACCTACATTTAAAGAAATTGCAAAATTTGCCGCCATGGGCTGCGGCCCAAGTGGCCACCCCCTAAATCCGGCCCTGACTTCCGTGCAGACAATTATGCATGAGGCTGCAACAGTGATCACCCTTTTGTCTACTTTTGACCTATCTAATAGATGGAAAAGTGCACTGCAAAGGCGCCTCCGAGATTCCACCATTCTATCGTGATAGCGAGGAGAGCAGTAAGTGCAAAAAATGAAGTTTTGAGAAGCCGAGCTCATTAGTTCCTGACAGGAAAATTTGACTGAAAGGAGCCTCAGTTCTTTGTCAACTTGCCACTAATCGTCCAAAAGATTCCTAGAAGCAGTTTGGGTGATTAAGAATCCACTGATTTTATTTCAAGGTGTTTTTCATTTTCATGTTAGGTTATTGTTAGGCAAGACAGCCGTAAGTGCTATCTTCTGCATGCTTTCGTCGTTGCGTTTTGGACACACAACAAACGCATTCTCAGGTTGAAAATGCGCAGAAGAGGGCGGCACTTTACTTGAAAGCACTGTTTCCAATTGCTCTCTGGAGGAATATTGTCACTTACTGCTGTTTTGCCTGAAACTACGTAATTTTTGGCGCACTTGCGGCTTTCCCATAGGTCTCGTTTTGATACAATTAAGATTAATTTTGCTGTTTTAGCAAGTTTCAGTGATTTCATCTAAAAGAGTTAAGACGAATTTTGAAGGGAATTCGATTTCGAAAAGAAACTTACTGCTCTCTTCGCTATTTTTTGCGCACTTGCGGCTTGCTCATAGGTCTCGTTTTGATACAATTAAGATTAATTTTGCTGTTTCAGCAATTTTAGTGATTTTATCTAAAAGAGTTTAGACGAATTTTAAAGGAAATTCGATTTCGAAAAGACACTTACTGCTCTCTTCGCGATCACGGCAGCACTAAGCATTGAGCAAAAACCGGAGCAGGACCGTGCGAAGAAATGAATGAAACAATGATGAATGAGCGAGTACGAGAGTGACGCGCGCCGCGCGCGCGATGAGAAAGGAACCGACGGTTTCTTTGCAGTTTGCGCCGAGTTGTTGACCCTCATTGTTTCAGGTGTCACCGCTCCGTTGCATTGACATGCAAATTTTCGGCCGAGACCGACACGCCGCGACGCTCAACGGCTTCAAGACTCATCGATCGAGAGGAAGTGAAAGGACTCCGGCGCCGTCGACCGCTTCCTCCGGGTTTCTAAACATTTTCGGAGACCGGAATGGTAATGAAAATGTTTCATTACTAATTTGTTTCACTTTCAAGTCTTCCCTTCGGCCGGGCGGATAATTTGGCTCATTGTAAACAATTTTTCGCTTCATTAAGATGAGCGGAAATCGTTGCGAGAAGAAGAAAAGAGTGACCGTTACTTTAGCGACATCTCAACGGAAAACATTCCAAATTCAGTGCTGGCCCCGCGGGCTGATTATTGAAGTTGATGGATAAAGCCATACACAAAGAGAAACTGGAGCGATCCTATGGTGGAAGCGGGTGGTTGCGATGGACAAAGTGGCTACCTAGGTGATTGGGCTCACCAACGAAAATCCAAGAGGGACCATGTAGTTAGTCAATCATTTTCTCCCTTAGCCTATGACAGGATGTCTACTAAAACAGGCTTGCCAAAAAGCAATACTCTTACAGTACTTTTTCGATACATTACCAAGAAATTCAGTACCTTCTCAACTGAAAAATTCAGTACTTTTTCAGTACCTCCATTTGATGATATTCGAAAAATTTCAAAAATTTGAATTTCTCGCTCAAATTGCAACAAAAATGACAAAAAATGAAATAAATTCCGGACCTTCTTGTGGAATTTCCGCACTTTTCCATTACTTCCGAACCGCCCTTAGGAAGTCAATACTTTTTCCGGAAAATCCGGACTTGTAGACACCCTGCTATAGAAACCACTCGTTTCAGCCTATAGGATTGCTCCATTTTCTCCTTATCTTTTTTGAATGTAGTTTTGTCAATCAATTTTAATAATTATCTCGCAGGCGCCATTCACATTACCCCCTACCGACGGTGAAACATGCAGGTGCAGGTACGCGTTCGTATGGATTGTTCAGATCACTAATTAATCAACCTCTGTTTCCAAAGTAAACATCAATCACTGCAGTTGTTCTAACCTCTGAAGTTCTGAACTGAGGACCGTGACGTTCATTACCATGCAATATTTTTCAATTTCATTATTTCTTTATGTTTCTGACACTTTATTTATCTTATTTTACTTACGACCTTAAACGTATGCGATCAATTTTAAAACCCTGTAAAATGACGGCAGTTAGAACACCTGGCACAGTTCATCAACGATTATTTCAGCTAAAGAATAAAAACCCAGGTACAAATTCATTCTTCATTTTTCCTAGTGTATCACTTTAAATTTTAGGCGAAAAGTAAGGAAAACACGCCGACCACACACTAGCACTTTATTCGGCACGTTTTGATTTTGAATGGCAGAAGGACAAAAACTTTGCGTTCGACTAGAGTTTACAGACAATTATGGACGCTTCCAAGATAGAGGAGGTAGCGGATCGAACGCCCTCCCTAACTTGATCACCTAGATTTTATTCATCTAAGTGCGAAATCAACCAGGGAACGAGAGCTTTTCGATTATTATGGAATGGGTTTTAAGTCAGAAATTTTCCTGTTTTGAAAAACAATAAGCGCTCAGCAATTCAGAAGTGTTTATACTTGGAGACTATCAGACGTGTAGGTTCTTTTCTCATTAAATGAGTTTTATCCAGGGAAATTTGGCAACAATCGAATGTTCATACGCCGTTTTTCTTCAGGACGGTAGTTATGGCCTCATAATCTTACATTTCCTTCAGAAATCAGTTATCATGCAATTTTTTGCTCCGATCTTACGAAATTGTGGATCCAGCACCGGCCAAAGTAGCATTCCCGTGATTTTTAAGATAAGGTTGGAACTTGGCTCGAAGCTATGGGTGGTGGCATTTGCTTCCTATTACTCATGCAGTTTGAGGAGAGTCATTGACTATGATTCCGAAAATTACTTTCTTGGCAGTGCCCCTGCCGCATTGCTCATGGGTGTTATCGTTCAAACTCGTGACTCACACTGGCTCGGAAGCCCCACAATAGTCCTCGATAATTTTTGCACTTGCCTCTCACCCACACACCTGCTCCCGAGAGAAAATGAGCGATGCGACAGCTTCACTTCCGCAAAAGCGGGAGGGTGGGGCGATCATTTAAAAAAATTCAAATGATTCCTTTGTTAAAACACAGAAAAATCATACGTCACCAACTGTGCACGTAGTATAGAAAAAATCAAAATTCCCTGATTTTTCTTACGGTGGCAAAACGCCCTTGTAACTTTTGCCAAAATTCCTTGACTTCTTAGGGTTTTCTAATTGATATAATTAATTGCACGTTTGATGAGTTCCTGACGAATACACGAGGTGCAAAATAGTCAAACGCTTACCTTAATGACAGCCTTCGATTAAACAAGACGAGGGGCAATACGCTGCTATCCTCCTTCACAAAAACTGAGGATTATGTCATTATAATAAATAAAGATGAGATCACTGGTTTCCGAACATCCTGAAACAAAAAAAGAAAAGAAAAGAAGATCGGGATTAAAAATCTAATCAGTCGAACTTACTAATCATGCAATTTTTGAAAGTGTGCCCAATACGTCGATGTTTCAGTGGCGCCTGGATGCAACTATTCGAGCTCTACGGATGTCCGTGTTGCATACACACTTGAGTGAAGGCGTTTTAGCTCTCCAGGCACTTTCCCGTTCACCCACGGTGCGGGCTGTATTGCGAGTATTTGTAAAATAACATATCACCTTCCATTCTTTGTTTATGCTACGAAGATACCTGTTTCTTAGGCACCGCTGGTTGCAATACTCATCATATTCAGCACCTTGCCGTATCAAAAATGAAGCATAACAGTTGGTGCATCCTACGCATGCGTGCAAGTATTTGTGCGTAGTGAATGTTTTTTTAGCAGCGAAGAATTAGGGTGCTCTGTCGTTACGATTCTCGCAGTTCAATGCGCTGGGCCGCGGCATGCGGGTGAAGTCTGAAGTGGCGAGAGCCTGGAGAATCAAAACGCCTTCAGTCTCGTGCGTATGCAACACGGACATCCGTGGAGTTCGAATAGTTGTATCCACGTGTTGTAATGAAATTCACTTAATGTCCGTTGCATGTTACACGAATAAATGGTTTTATGCTTGTTCCTCTCACACCTCAACTTAATGAAAGCGTCGCTTATTGCGCCCATGAAGTAAAATGTTATTGATTTTAATCGTAACATTGTCAGTTGGATTCGAACGACAATGAAACAACCTTTTCTTGATCCTAATAAGAGGTGCCAGCTGTACAATGAATGACTGTTGCTTTCTTATTGCGTATAGCTTCCTGCTTCCACGCTGATTGTCAGAGCATGGGAGCAGGAAAGTAAGGGAAACTTGACGTCAGATTTCATACATCGTATTTCTTGAAAAGGAAAGATAATTAGTTTTGCAGCATTTTGATCTCCCTAATTTGTGCAAAAATGTCATTGTCTTGGCTATATTTTTAGGAGTGCTTGTGGAATTGAAAAGTATGTAATAAAAAAATCCGAAGCGTCTTTCGGTGCTTTGACGACTGATTGTTCCTCTTATTTAACGGAAATCTGGTGTTCGGATGATTATCTTGATTCTATAAAAATGAGACCAAAAGTTATAAATACACTTCAAAAAAGTTCATGAGGTAAAGGCATTTTATTCTCATGATGCACAATAAGCATAATCTTAGCGACACCTGGTGGCACTTGGATATTCTGATTTTCGACTCTTCAATAGTTGATAATATCATCGCATTGCCTGATAAAATCAGGTGCGTCATCGAAAATTGTCCGGAGGTAGAGAGACTGCACTAAAATATTGGAACCACATCAATTGAAACATAATACTAAAAAAAAAACACACCAAAGTAAAATTTCGCGTTGCGCGCAGATTTATTCGCGATCATAGAAAATCATTGCCTGGTAACATCGAGAGACCCTAAAGTTAGTTCGAAGTTTCCGAATGAAAAGAAATCATTCTGCAGCGTTGTAAGCGGTAACTTGTTACAATTTTAGGATTTTATCGAGGAAGATCCTTGATTTACAAAAAAAAAACGATCGTAAGGAAAAACTTTAACAGTGCCAATAGTTGCATTTTCAAACGAAACAGATTAAATTATTACTGTCATGTGTAACGCAGATATTACCTTAATCACAGTGTCGAAAAATTGAAACTAAACTGCTCCTTCCGGCCGGTAACTCCGGAAATGCAACACATACCTCCTCCAACACCGTTACAAAAGTAAAAAATTACCCGCGATGACTAATTGGCAATTGGCATACTGAACGTTCGAATTAAGTGCCTCTGCCACGCACGAAATCACGTCAAACACAACACAATCACAGTCAGTTTTAGACTAAAAGCAGCAACTATTAAGCTTTGTTTATCATCCGAACCGAGATAAAACTGTGGTGTCGGTGTTGAAAGTTGATTACGATACCAACAAACGTCCTATCATCCAAGGAAACATTACTTCCCTGATAACCGAAAAGCGTGTCAAGTCTATTAAAATTAAATTACACTCTGAGACCGTGCATTGATTTAATCCATTGTGTTGCAAGGCATTTTTTATGTCTTTTTTATTGGGCGATCCTAAAGCGTAGGGGTACGAAAAATGCCGGATCTTGCGATTCGCGGATCGGAAAGAGCGAGGGATTTTTGAAGACGCGAGGAAACAAAAATTTCAGATGAACCAGTGGTTAGAGTTAAAACGTGAGAGCTACTATACAAATGCACGTCTCTACTTCAAAATTTTACGCATAACATGGAACGAACAGTGAAAAATTCTAACATTAGCTAAGAAGTGAGAGATGAACATTTTTATTTGTGGCCGTCAACTTAAAAGTCTACACGAGTCAAAATGCGTGTTTTACGGGCGCTAGTAAATTCCGCCGAAAATGGGTAAATTCCGCCGATTTTCCATCCACCGAAAGTGTAAATTCCGCCGATAGGTGCCACCGAGCGAGTGTAAATTCCGCCGATGGAGGAAAAGGAAAATGTTTTTGGAACGGCACTCATATTCGGCAAGAGCATCAAGTTAAGATGTTATCTGTTTGAAGGTAGATCTGCGCTCAAAGCCGAGGAGTTGCACTTTGATGATATCAGTAAAACTGATAGCGGATGGTTTGGGACGGAACGCGGAATGTACATGAACTCTGACTTCAGTAGCCGAAAAGATGGAGCCGAGAGTGTCCGTTATGACAAGTGAGAAGGGGAAATTTATTATTCTGCGGGACGGTTTTAAATTTTATAGAAAGGCTGTGTACGTCCGGATTCAAAGTGTCGGGTCTCCAGCCAAGCTTCGGTCAGACGTCAAAAGGCAAAAAGCACACGTAGACAATGCAATTATGAAATTTAAAATTCACCAAGACCGTTTCAAATTTGTTAAAACAGTTTCATACCGTTTCAGCACAGTGAAAAAGTGAAAAACTGTTGGTCTTCTTACGACATGGGTCTCTTTTTTGTTTTATTTTTTGACGTGGGGCTCTCTACACCCTAAATGTTTATTTTCTACGCTCTCCTCTCCGACTTCAACTCATAGACATAGAGGTAAGCAAATTTGCACTACTTACAAATCCTGTTTCAAAAACATTGACCGGCGGAATTTACATTTTGGGTGGACGTCATATCGGCGGAATTCACAAATCGGGGGAATGATAAATCGGCGGAATTTACACTCCAGAAAAATAAAATCGGCGGAATTTACAACCTCCCTGTTTTACGACTGAATGGCGCCCTCAGAGAGCAATTTTGTTTTCTTGACAAGTTTACGAGTGATGGCTATGGGCTACGACTGTAATTTACAGGCATGATTAAGTCATCCTCAGTAAGAACGCATGAACTCTTTAGTGTCACTCAGATTGTATAATTCTGTGTTCACTTTGCAAAGTAGTTAAATGTAATTCCTACTGGAATCGTCAATCAAGACAAACGTATTTTTACTAATAATTTATAGAACAATTATATTGATACGTGCGTTCGTTCGCTTTGCTACAAAATATGTACAAAGTTGTACAGTCCGAGAAACACTGAAAAGTTTTTACGTTTTTTCTGCACAGAATGACTCAATTCTTCAGCATTGAAAAAAATTGACGTAACGATATACTTCTACGAATCGGCGTCCACTGATGCTTGATTTGTCCACATCAATACGATCTTCTTTCTGGTTCTTTTAACTATATTTCTTGGTTAGGGCCGAAATCAGCTAGGAGTATAGTCTGTAGTTGCATTCCGTCATAGCCCTCGAAAACGAACGATGATCCGAATTTTGAAGGAGACGCGAACGGATTGCGAAGATGAGAAGCTTCGGCTATAGGTAAAGACAAGACTAGGCCGATAGCCGACAATTTCTTAAGTTATCAGATAAGTTACATATGCTGCCGCACGGTGATGAGCTGATCCATTAAGGAATGTTCTTCCGTTCATTACAGTTCTAATTACGATCCTCCAGATAATGACATGTTAAACGGGAATGAAGCAATACCTCATTTTCCAACCGAGTTCCAACATCGTTTTTGAAAACGCAGAGTGTATCACCATGACTGAACAACTATGCTGAGGCACACAAGAGCCTCGACATTTACTTCTTCAATATTTCGTCACATTTTTCAAGCTTGTCTTAATAGATTTATTAATTATCTGAATTCTACTCATTCGTTTCGAAGAATACCTTCGAATTTTCGTGTTCACGGAAAAAAGGGGTTAGGGGTTATCCACTAAAATTGTGGTGCTACCTCAATTTGTTGGATTATATGGACATTTCCAATTCAATGTGTGGTAGTACGGCAACATTTGGGCTGGTAGCCTAATATATAGGGGTGCTACCACAATTAATTGGAAATGTTTATATCACTCAACAACCCCTCGCTCTTTTCTTCCCAAGTTGTGAGTATTCATTCTGGATCAACGTTTTATCGCTGCGTTTTCAAGCTCGTCGTGATCAAAGTTTAATAACTATCATTAAACTTATAAAGATCGTCCAAATATGTTTTTTGATTTCTTTTTATGAAATTTGAATTTCTATTTCTATTTCTATGGTACCACCCGGCGTGTACACACACCGACCAGCGGGGCGATTATTGAAATGATATCGACTGTATGTCAGCGCTTTGTCGTGTCGCGCCATCGACTAAGCAATGGCTTAGTCGATGGCGCAACACGACAAAGCGCTGACATACAGTCGATATCATTTCAATAATCGCCCCGCAGGTATTGGCTGTTATCTAGTTGTGCCGTTATTTAACCAAAGTATGGTAAATCCTACCCAACTCTTTTTCCATATTGGGGGCCGTCCCTAAATCACATAACGCTCCAAGGAAGGGAGGGAAGTCCTTGCCAATTTCTGACTGTGCCCATGAATATTCGCGGCCATTAGCACCCATGCCAAAAGTACAGAAAACTGGACCGGTAGTTTCGGTTACCGAACCCCGAAATCTACGGAACTTCGCGTTCGCTTTCTTCGATGTCCGGTTTTGAGGAGCTTTGACTTGACAACAAGGTGTTACTTGACCCGCTCGGGTATGCTTTTACTTCAACAAACACGTCTCGTTCGCGAGCTTACCAGCGTTGCCAATCTTTGAAAAAAAATAGTGAATTTGGAAACGACCGGTCAGTAAAAATCGGAAAGAATTCTAATGAGCCGGCGTCATGGCAGCTTACAACCACAACTGGGCAACGGTACTAACAACGAGTCATCTGCTCGTGATAAATTCATTCATTCATTCATCCATCCATTCATTCATCTGATCCGACTGCCCAGAGGGCTTCAGACCGTTGATATAATTTATTTAAAGCTCGTCGCGCCACGGTGCAAAGCCCTCTTCCAATCTCCACATTCATTTAAAAATGGATGGTTCTTTCTAGTGGCCGACGGTTACGAGGGTGTAATTCAAAATTCCTCATTTCCGCAGAAACTCATTAGAGGTGCTTAGCGTAAATATATACGAGAGGATTCGTGACTTCGCCACGACAGAAAAAGAAAATGAAAACATTGTTGGGATGATATATGACGGAAGTGGTATTGTACGTCCACACCGTGGGCAGAAATTACATAGTATATTCATATTCCAAAATCCTCAGGTCCGGATGGTTTCAGTGGAAGAGCTGCAATGTTGACTTTTTGACGGACCGTTCCATGGACAATGGAACTGGCTGATAGAAACTGGGTACATTTGAACACTTGCAGTAAAAAAATTACGAAATGTCATTAAGCAATACGTTTTCAGTATCTCAAGACAGAAATGATTGGAGAGTTTGACGAGGGATTTCACTCCAGTCTGCCAGACACAGAAAAAAGCAGAGGCGATTCTTGCAAGTTGGCAACGTTGTTTTTCCTCCATTTAAATGTACGTAAAAAATTGATTCTTCACCTGGAATCGATATTTTGAATGGATTCAAACGGAGTAAAAACAATGTTGCCAAATTTCAAGAATCGCCACTGGAAAAGGGGGTCCTAAGAACCGTGTGGGTGATCGGACTGCTCTTTGTGGAATAAAAAACTACAATTTTCGGCTCAGTTCAGAAATAATGTACACACCATTATTTTGCATAAACACATAAGTGTTTTATGGATGAGCGAGAAATTGAAGTAATCCCGATTGCAACGAGTAGTCCGATTGTACTAAGTCGTGTACCTAATCTAATCTACATCACGAAGGGGGCAGCGATAATCCAAACTTTAAAAACCACGCAGTTTTTTTTTTCGGGGGTTAGAATCACACAACGTCAAAAACCTGATTAGCAAAACCTGAGATAGAGATGGAGGGGGGAGAGTGATGCATACGGAGCGATGTAGCGCATTTATGGAGAGGGAGGAGAGGAGAAGATGAAAACGAGCAAAAAAACCTTAACTGAATGCCCCCTATCTCGTTCGTCTAGGAGATCCGCTAAAGAAATGGCCACGCATCGATAACGTATGTGAGACTGTATTCATTGCTGCTCCTTTACCTTAAGGGTCTCGTAATTTTCGCACTCAACGCAATCCTTGCGGTTTCAGTGGGTCGTAAAATTAAAGGAATAACGACTGTTGGTGTGAACACGGTCCGTAATCCCCATACCAAGTCCGTGCACTGCCGTGCTACGGAAGAACGCCTTATGAGCCTTCAGACGTTGCCATATTTCATCGAATGGAAAAAGAATTTTCTGGGAAAATTGTGAATATTATTCTTCAAAGTTCTCAGACAATTTGGTACGCAATTTAATCTGAATTATCTGAAAATTTAAAAGACAAATATGCATAAATATCGTCAAAAATACATGTTTTATCGAGGGAAATTTGGCAGCTCTCGAATGCCCATACGGCGTTCTTCTTTAGTACGGCAGTAGAGTCCTTAAAATATAAAAGCCAGTTCTCGCGCCTGGCTCCGTAAATCCTTTGACGCCTCCCTTTGACACGAGCGCTGCGGAAACAGCATCCCTCGGGCTGACGTAACGCGCAACGCGAGTCGAGTTGGGCGGGGGCGGGTGCNGCATCTGGATGCTTGAAATTACCATACTAGTCAGTCGGGAACGCCACACTGGCACTGTGTCGCATAGTGTCAGCCGTATCGTGTTATTTACCATACCGGTATATTGGTAACTATGTTGCAGCTTCAGTGTGTAAAAAATCAAGTAGACAGTATGGTAAATAACACCCAAACTCTGGTAAATCCCACCGATTATTTTTTTCAGTGATGCGCTTGAAAGGCATCCGTCACGGAAAACGGAGCGTTCACAGTTTTCTTCCTAAAATCGACCGAGATGAGTGAAAAAAAAGAAAAAAAAAGGCTTTCCCAATTTTTACAGTCTCCCCCAATTCTGATGCGATCATGATCCAGGGTGTCTACTAAAGCACGGCCGGCCTAAAATCAGTACTTTTACAGTACTTTTTCAGTACAGTCCTGAGAAATTCAGCACTTCCTCAAAGGAAAAATTCAGTACTTTTTCAGGACCTCCATTTGACGAAATTCGAAAAATTTCAACATTTTGAATTTTTCTCTCAAATTGCGACAAAAATGAAGAATCCCGGACCTTCTAGCGGAATTTCCGCACTTTTCCAATACTTCCGGACCGCTGTCAAAAAATCAGTACTACTTCCGGACTTGTAGACACCCTGATGTTCGTGTGATCGACAACATTCTGCACCCCTGCACAGTGTCGACCATGGAGCCTCCTGACAAAAGGATCTGTTTAAGGAACAACTATAGAGATACGGCCCTTAAGACTATGGGCACGGCAATACTGCCATGCTAAGGAAAAATGCCGTATGAACATTTGAGAGTTGCCAAATTTCCCTTGTAAAAATATGTATTATTGACAACATTCCTGCATATTTTTCTAGCGATTTTCAGATAATTTAGATTAAATTACCTACAAAATTGTCTGAAAATTTTGGAAAATAACATTCACAATTTTCCCAGTGAATTCGGTTTCTATCGGAGGACACTTGACAACGTCTGGAGGCTCATACGGCGTTCTTCCTTAGCACGGCAGAATAGATAACAGAGAACGGTCTCCATTCGTCTCTGCTGGATGAGTGCGAATCTGGGATCATCGTCGGAAGTGAGAGAAGG